CTTTTCTGAAGTGAAGCATTCTTATGATCCATGTACCTGATTTGGTGTTTCATTTAAAACTCTGAATCCATATTCTCATACAGATTTTTAACCCTAAAATCTTCCCTTTTACATTTATCGGTCTGAAATGCAAAGCCATCAGACCTAGAGGCTTCTTTTTCCCACTACTCAGAGAGGACACAATATGAGATGTGGTCCAGAGGAGTGAAAAAAATCCACATAGAGATCAAGGTGCTTCTCAAATGGAAAAAGACTGACATCTTTCCATTTGGGTAGATTACACATGTGGATGCTATTCTGTGCCCCATTTCTCACCGTAGATTTGCATTCTTTCCAAATCATGGGGCAGACCACATATGTATCTGTGGGTTTCCAAGACACACGGTGTAATATGACAAAGGATATAGAGTTTGTGCCTCAGGGTCCTTGTTTGTAAACTGGAAATAGTAATAATCAACTGCCTTAGCTACTTTTCTTTCATTGCTGAGACAGAATACCTGACTCCCAAAGTTAAAGTGGGGAAGGATATTTAGTTCACAGGTTGCAGAGGTTTTAGTCCATAATTGGTCTGAAGCAGGGTAGCACATGACATAGGGACAACAGTTCACAGCTGCAGAAGACAGAAAAAAGCAATGCAAGAGAGACAACACTCTTTTTTATTCCTTATTTTATTTTATTTTAAATTTATTACTTTATTTGTTAATATTAAGAAGAAAATGTAAAACAAATTTTCACAACAAAATAATGAAAAAGTAACAATTGTTGATAAATTACACAACATTATCTTTAGTCACTCAAGTACAAAATATGAGCATAAAAATTACTTCAATCAATATTAGGACAACCTTTCCTATTCAGTGAACTAAGTGACACTAATGGTATAACTAACTTGCATTTTTTTCTTTTCCCTTCTATCCTATCTCTTTTCCCCTATCTTAGTTTTATTCCGTATTTTATATGCAGGCTACCCAGGCAAGTGTAGGGCTCACACCCTTAATCCCAGCACAGGACCATGAATCAATCAGACTCTAGATTCAGCCACCTCTGAAAATCCTGCCCCCATGACTGCATGACACTTTGTGGGGACATCCAGATACAAACCATAACACCACCTTATATGGTTATTGTGAGGACTGAGTGAGATGGTGTTACATAAATGCACATGATAGGCACCAAAATGTTATTTCTGTTCCTTCATAACAGCAAAAGAACAGAGAAACCTCTCAATGTAAGAAAGTTAGATTAGTCCCATTAATTCTTCCCCATGAAGAATTCAGTCACTGTGCAGTAGCACCAAGACGATGAGGGGGATAGGTCATCTTATGTCACAAGGCAACTAATAATACACCTAGTTTGATTCATTTGAGGCAACACTGATTTGCTCCACTTCAAGTGATCAATCAACTGTCCTACTTTGCCTGCTATTGAGGGGTTCCTGGAACATAGAACCGTCAGTGCTAAACTAGGAAAGTCCTAAGTCATAGGAAAACCAGGATGATCGGTTGCCCTATTCACCCAGCACTAATTAGACTACCAAGAATCCTGGGTGGATCCTTATCCCACTGAAACCACTTTTTCCCAGCTATACATAAAAGGGCTAAATGTGATTTTATGCTCTTATTCTAATATTTCTCCTTCTTCCTCCTCCTACCGCTAAATCGTTTCAGAGTGGTCCCTGTTCACCATGTCTTTCTGCTTAGTACAAGTACTTTCTCAAAGTCACTTATCTGGAACTCAGAACCTAACAGATTTTTAAATAACAGCAGAAAGAAATAAAGGAGAAGAGAGAGGGGAGTGGATAGTTGCCGGTATATGTTATTTTGTCTTAAAAGGTATTCTCAAGTAACTTCACAGAGATGGAAAGCAATGAAACCAAACCACAAATGTTCTTAGCTTCAGTAACACTTTCCCAAGAATCATAAGCTAAATGCCGAAGGGTAAGAGGGGAGTGGTTCTAGGTAGGCATGGTGGAGCATGACTGTAATCCTAGCACTCTGGGGGCCTGGGTAGGAGAACTACGAATCTGAGTGCAGCATGGGCAACTATAGGACTTAGCAAGACCTGTCTCCAAATAAAAAATAAAAAAGGGCTTGGGATGGAACTCCTTGTGAAGGCTCCTGCCTTCAATCCTCAGTACTCAGTACTACAAAGGAGGTGGGGGGATCGGCCTTAGACTATCATGGTGGGTGTCCCCCCAGCCAGACATCCCTGCTGCCAGGGCAGAGTTCTCACTATAAACATGAAGCCCACTGAAGTAGACAAGCCTTTCCTTTCTCTTCCTGAACTAAGCTCAGCACCATGATGGATGAATGGCTATTGTGAATAGAAATCAGGTGGTCACAAGCCTGCCAACATTGGGGTGTGCACTTAATAGCTTTCTAATTCCTTCTAAAAAACACTATTTCTAATGGCCAAGAGTCCTACCACTGAAATGCCATGTGTATTCTGACCAGTGCTCTTTAGCACCTCCCATAAGAAGTGGCATAGCTGTCACTGTTCTTGGCAGTGGCAGTTGAGGCTTCCCTCTTCATTTCCTTCACACTTGGGACAACATCATCCTGAATTGCTTAGCTCTGTGTCTCTCCTCTGGATCTATTTTTTCCTAAGTTCCCCTATAGCTATGCATTCATAGCTGTGCATTTCATTCTGCAGGGGTCTATTCTGTGTTCCCACTTCCGAGTCAGAACTCCTTCCTGCACTTTTAAGTGGATCATTTTCTTATCTACATGTCCATCTAGTCTGTCATCACGTATATTAAACTTGCGGGACTCATCTTGCTTCCACAAATAGCTCTCTCTAAGATTTCTATTTTTCTTGAAGTTGTAGCCAAAATTCACTTCCTGGTTCAAAATCTTGGCATCAGCTTTGATTCTTCTTTCACCATCTCGAGCCAGAAACAAAAATAAAATTCTTCCTTTGTAATCTCTCCTATCTGCCTTATCTTGTCTGATTCTGTTTTCACTCTCCCCCATACAAGCTTCCATCACTCTATATCCTACTATATCTCTCAGCTATGCTTAGCTAACACCCAAATTACAATGTAAAATGACTCCCTGTTTTGTACCAAGTAATTTCAGACTCTTTAACCAAAATTTAAGAATTTCCACAATAAATTCACAATAAAACCAAAATGCCAATAGGCCTATGGGTGTAAAGGCCAGACCCAGATTTCAACTAGTAACAAGTGTTCAGTTGGCAATTGGATTAGATGTGTGTTTCATATACTGTGGCAGAAAATTTAGCTACATTTTGCTCATGTCTTGAGACTTGTGGAAGAATAAGATTGACGATAGTAGACTAATTGATCTGGCAGATGAAATTTCAAGGTAGTCCAGCATTCAGATTATGGCATGAGTACTTCTGGCTGCTTTTAGCTAAATTTACAGCAAGAATCAAGGACAAAATTCAGAACAGAAAAACTTAGAAAACTTAAAATTTGTTCTAAAAAAACCCACGTGTAAAGTTGGGACAAAAGAGATGTGATTTCTGAAAAGAGAAACCTAAAATATAAACAAAGAGTAAAACAAAAGATAATGTCTTGTCTTGTTGCTGAGACAAAATACCTGACACCCAAAGTTAAAGGACAAAAGGTTTGCTTAGCTCACAGTTTGTGGAGGTTTCAATCCATAATCAGCTGGCTCCAAGGCAGGGTGATGTGGCACAGAGGCAATAGCTCACATCTATGGAAGACAACAAGAGCAACAAGCAACAAGAGCAAAAGAGGAAGCCAGCCTCTTTTCCTCCTTTATGTTGTATGCAGACTATCCCCCATAAGGTGGGTACAGTACTCACCCCCCCAACCCCAGCACTACACAATGAAGCAATCACAAACTCTAGATTCAGCTGCCTTCAAAAAGCTCCCCACCATGACTGAATGGGGCTTTGGGGGAACAGCCACAAAACCGTAAAAATCATAGGAAGTAGGGAGATCATTTTCAAACGGCAAGGTGAACAAGATGTGGAGGGAGAAATAAAAGGGAAGGACAAGAAGGTGGAAAAAAAGAATTGAAGGGAAAAAGTAGACATAGATTTTTTGCAAATGGGAAGCAGACCAAGAATTAGAAGGAACAGGGAAAAATGGAAAAGGTAGGGGAAGAAACAATTAAGATGTGTCATATATTTTACCAGCCCTTGATAAATACAACCATGATGTACAAAAAAAAAAAAAAAAAAAAAAAAGGAAAATGAAAAAGCAAGCACTTGGCATAGGAATAAGAAGAATGATGCCTTGAGGGCATCTCGGGAATCATGAAGATTTGACCCATTGCTGGCATATTGCTGGTATAAAAATATTAACCTTTCATTTGAGAAGAGAGTGTCTCGGACCCTTGCTTGAGAAAAGCCTCCTTAGGAATTGGTTTCCAGAATTCATCTCATTGTACTCAGCCAATGAGCACTCAGAAGCTACAGCATTACTTGGAAGGCAGGGCATCTTTTCTCCCATGTACCACAGTCCCCACTTGGCCTGCTTCTGGGACATTTGGGGTTTGACCTCTGCTCCAGTCCCAGAACAGCCGAAGACATTAAGGTGAATGTCATATTATGTGATAGATGTATCACTGGCACTTAAGTTACTCTTCAGATCAAGTTGAATATGAGGCTGACTTCTTGGTGGACATAAAGACTTAATGAGAGAGAAAGTTAGAGGGTAGCTTGGGCCAGATTGGGTGAGGGTAACAGAGGTGAGTAGGAACACCAGGACAATTGTCAGCAAACAATAAGAAGCAACAAGCATGATTGGCCCCATCAGAGGACAGTGTGGGTTTGTGAAAAGAGGATGGGCCTGCATGGACTCAGATATAACAGCCCAATTCCATCATGTAGCTGCTGTGTATCGTTGGGGAAAAAACCTCCATTTCCTTGACCATAAAATGGGGGCAATACTTTCAGGGTGGTTGAGGAATTAATAAGAGAAGTGGAGTGTCTTTGGTGTCTGCTAAAATAAGTGCATTACTCTTCTTACTAATCATTCATATTCATGTTTTCATATTTCCCGCTAGGGTTAAGAAGCAAGAAAAACTGGAAAGCTATGGTAAGTACCACAGTCTTCCTGAAGGGGTTCACTTTCAGGGGTCCTCGTCTTGACCTATTTAACCTGCAGATGAAGTGGCTAAAAGATGCATCCTTGTGCTTTGATTTGTTGGTGAGAAATTGACATAGGATAAAAAGAAAAAAGTTCAGAACAATTTGTGAGCAAGGATTTTTAAAGAATATTTAAAAATAAGGTTCCCAACATAAAAATGATAAACATTTGAGGAGATGAAATGCTAATTACTCTGACTTGATCATAACACACAGTGTATTTGTATCAAATTATACTGTACCCCATAAATATGTATAAATACTATGGCAATTAAAAGCAAAATAGAAAAAACAAGTATTAATGTAAATGATTAACAATTTGTTCAACAAATACTACTGAGTAGCTGCAGAGATCCAGGCCCCATGCCAGGTACTAGAGATGCAAATGTGAGTTAAGCCAGCCCTCCAGGATGCCTTTAGGGAGTGGTTGGTTGAGTGAGTAATGTTCTGTAATATTTCACTGCTGTTTTGAAGAAAGTGTACAAAGAATAATTAATAAAATATGTTATAATAGCAAGTTAAAAAGGAAGATACAAAGTTGTATTCATAATATTAACAATGAGATACAAATCACCCATAATCCATAATTCAGAAATAACAACTGTCAAGATTGTATTCTGTTACATTCAGCTTTTTTGCACTATTCTAAACATATCTACCATGTAGGTAGAATAAACTATAAAGTGTTTTAAGACTGTCGATAGCTGTTATTTCTGGATTGTGCATTATCATGGATTTCTTTTCTCTATGATTCTTAATATTACAAGATTCCTATAACAATCACATAGACAGGAAATGAGCTCATTAAAGCACAGCCACAAACATGCATCAAGCTTCTCCTCTAGCATTCATTTGCTTTCTCTTTTCCTTTACCCTTGGTGTACACAGGGCAGAGTTCACAGGCCAGCACCCGGGCAGCACCGGCACTGTGAGGGATGCATCAACCGCCACTGTCAGGCTCCTGTGGAGCGGGGTGTTTCCTGTCTGGTGATAAGCTGCCACCTGCTGTGTGGTGCAACCTTTCACATGTGCAAAGAAGCAGAGCATGAGCTCCTGTGTCCTTTAGAGCAGGTTCCGTGCCTCAACTCTGAATATGGCTGCCCCCTTTCCATGTCCCGTCACAAGCTGGCCAAGCACTTACAAGTGTGCCCAGCCAGCATAGTGTGCTGCTCCATGGAATGGAACCGGTGGCCAAATGTGGACTCAGAAACAATCCTTCATGAGAACATCATGAAAGAGACCCTGAGTGAGGAGTGCTTGGACACAGCCCTTGCCCTGCGAGACCAAAAGGTCCTCTTCAAATCCTTGAAAATGGTCGAACTCTTCCCCGAAACTAGAGATGCCACTGAGGAGGAATCCCTTATGAATGGCGAAGCCAGTTGGGAGGAAATGGCAGGAGCAGTGGGGGGACTGGGTGCCACTTTGGTACCACACGCAGCTGCTAATGGGGAAATGATGGAGTTGAGCCAAGAAGAACGAGAAGCATTAGCCAAAACCAAAGAAGGGATGGACCTGGTCAAGTTTGGCCAGTGGGAAAACATGTTCAGCAAAGAGCACGCAGCCTCTGCTTTAGCAAGTACACCAGCAAGGTGTGAAAACAAGAATGCAAAAGGCACAGGTAAAGAACAGAGCTCCAGTGGCGATAACATGGCAGACACAGAGGGTGCCACCAAAGGGAAAGAACCTCAGGAATACCAGATGCAACAAAACTTGTCCTCAGTCATAGAAAAGGCGGGGCTCGCCCCCTGGCAGGACGGTGTGCTGGAAAGACTGAAAACAGCTGTGGATGCAAAGGACTATAATATGTATCTAGTGCACAACGGGAGGATGCTCATTCACTTTGGTCAGATGCCTGCTTGTACACCCAAGGAGAGAGACTTTGTTTATGGCAACCTTGAGGCTCAAGAAGTTAAGACCGTTTACACCTTCAAAGTTCCTGTGAGCTACTGCGGAAAGCGAGCTCGGCTTCGTGATGCCATGTTGAGTTGCAAGCCAGGTGAACACAAGGCTGTGGATACTTCAGACTTGGGCATCACTGTAGAGGACCTGCCCAAAGCAGATCTCATCAAGACCACCCTGCAATGTGCTTTGGAAAGGGAACTCAAAGGCCATGTCATCTCTGAATCCAGGAGCATCGACGGGCTCTTCATGGATTTTGCCACACAGACATACAACTTTGAGCCGGAGCAGTTTTCATCTGGGACAGTGTTGGCTGACCTTCTTAGCACAGCCGAACCGGGGGGACTCCATGTGGAGCTCCACAGTGAGTGTGTGACCAGGAGACACAACAAAAGCAGCTCTGCCTTCACTTTCACCTGCAACAAATTCTTCAGAAGGGATGAATTCCCCTTGCACTTCAAGAACATCCACACGGACATTCAGTCTGGCCTCAATGGCTGGTTCCAGCATCGATGTCCCCTCGCCTACTTGGGATGTACATTTGTTCAAAATCATTTCCGTCCCCCGGGGCAAAAGGCAAAAGTGATCTACAGTCAAGAACTTGAGACTTTTGCTATCAAGCCAGAGGTCGCTCCAGAACTGAACGAGGGAGGGAAGAACAACCAGCTCTCTGGCCGTGGAGGAAAAAACCAGAATTGTCTAAGCGACCTGCCCCTGGAGGTTCTGCAGTACATTGCTACGTTCTTGGACAGCGTCAGCCTGAGCCAGCTCTCCCAGGTATCCAGGCTGATGAGGAATATCTGCGCTACCTTGTTACAAGACAGAGGGATGGTCCTCTTACAATGGAAGAAGAAGAGGTATTCTCATGGAGGATCTTCTTGGAAAGTCCACAAAGAGGCAAGTCAACACTCACTCATTCATTTAACAAATATTTATTGAGAGCTTTCTGTGTGCCAAGCACTTACAGTGGTTGCACATAACACTGATTCAATAAGATCTGTCTGCTAGGGAAAATAATAGGAGGAATATATATATATATATTCTGCATATGTACATATATACATATATATATATATCTTCTGAATGTTTTCTGTATGCTCACATCTTTCTCCTAGTAGTCTGCTAGGCACCAGCTTCTCTGCACAGAACCTCAGCTGGACCCCTTGCCCTTCAGCTTCCTGTTGGGCCCATTCAATGGGAGGCATGGGCAGGGAAGCACGGCGCTGAGGGGTCCGTTCTTCTGGCTTCTTGACACCTTGAGCTGGATATATTGCTCTACCGAAGGTGGCTGTATCGGGAGGTTCTCTACACAGTTATTCATTCTGGGTTCCAAGGACCAACCTCCTTCTTTCCCTCAGTATAGCGTGGTATCATGCAGCTTTCCTTTACTATGCCTATGTGTTTTAAAAATCATGTCTTTTAAAAATTATTTAAAATTGGGGCTGGGGATTTAGCTCAGTGGCATAAGCACCTGCCTTGCAAGCAAGCGGTCATGAGTTCAATCCCCAGTACCGATAAAAATGAAAAAAGACAAAAAAAATTTTTTTAAAAATTCTTTAAAATTACCCTATTGAGTGTACCATCTGTGTTTTGTTTGGACTCTGACTGATACCAGAGGGCAACAAAACTCCTCTCAGTCCTCTGTCAACCAATTGCTTTTGTTTTGCTTTTATTTTTGCAGTATTGAACCCAAGGTCTTGCACATGTTAGACAAGCTACCACTGAGCCACAGCCCCAAGCCTCAAGTGATTCTTAAGACAGTTTTTGCTTTTATTAAAGCCATTTTGAAATTCTAAGTGAATTTGGTCCACTGATTTCCCCTGTTTCAAATGCTTATTTAATTTTTCAGGAACTGTTGTTTAAATCAAAGACTTTCCCTTCAGTAAAACCTTGTTTCTTTTTCTCAGTTGGATACTGTTTGCTTAACTGTATTACAACTTCTACGCAAGTGAGATTTTTTAATTCACCATATCTAGGGTTCCTGTGAACACCTGCACTGTTACAGAAATATGTAAGATAGATGTTTCAGACATAATCAATAAAAGTAGATGTAAACAACTCTCAGGTGCCAATTTTCAAATACCCATATTAAGAAGACCATAGAATTATTGACCTTAGGAGCTGGGGATTTAGCTCCGCAGCATAAGCGCCTGCCTTGCAAGCAGGCAGTCATGAGTTCGATCCCCGGTATCAAGACAAAAAAAAAAAAAAAAGAATTATTGACCTTAATAAATATGATTTATACATGGTTCATATTGCCAACATATTTACTTTGAAAAAGCATGTTACAGGCACCTTGGCTCAGAGAAATGGCTCCAAGTTCCCATAAAATACTTTTTATACAAAGAAAACAAAACAAAAACTGAAGATGACATAGGTAGGTTTAAAAGGCACCAGGTTATGTCTACTCTTAAGACCAGATTTTAAAACTAGTGACTTTGCTGCCAATTCCAAGTAGAGAATGACCAGCGAGTACTTTATGGGTGTTACACTCATGGCGGGAGCGGGGCTTCCTATTCTAGTGAGACCCTTATTAGTTGGATACTTTTACTCTCAAACTGTAGAAAATTAGCTGAAAGCCATAAATAAAGGGAATTTTTAAAGCCTATGTAAGATCCAAAGGTGTTAGCTTCAGATAAGGCTTGACTCAAAGCTCAAAACTGCCCTCCAAATGACTTTAACTTCCTATGTTTTTAACTATGCTTCATTAATACTCCCTACGTCCTACAGCTTCTTCTGTGGTGGTTCTGGTAACTGCTGGCCCCTTATTGAACTATAGTTTCCCAATTCAAATACAGAAGGAAAAAGGTAATCTGATTTTTGATATCTCAAACAAAACTTCCAGAGTTGTCCTGATTCAAAAACTGTCTACGCTAGCACCAGTCACCTCCACTAGTAGAGAAACAGGGGAGGCCACGTGTCAGTGTGCTGATTGGTGACAGTCATCAGCGCACAACTACAGGGCTGGTTGGGCAGATGACTAGCGGGGAGAGGGAGCCAGGAACTGGACGCTGAGGAAGAAACTGACAAATATGTGCAGTGACCAAATAGCTAAGTCCCAGAAGAGAAGCTTTCCTGATAGTGTCTGTATCTGATCACCTGAGTGCGTAGCCTGGTGTTCAACTCTGAGCTTTGTCTTTCCCAGCAGATCTGGCAGTTCAGCAGTCTGTTCTCCAAAATCAACAGCTGGGAGTTTAACGAAGTTACTTCCATGTCTGAGCACCTGAAGACCTGTCCTTTCAACATTGTAGAGCACAAGACGGACCCCGTTCGTTTGACCAGCATGTGCCAAACCCATGAGCAGCCCCAGGAGAGCTTAGTCTCCACCTTTAGAACCAGGCAGCGAGGAAGATACACCTAATGATGAGGATACTTGCACTCTTGGACTTCTCCTCGGGGTTATTGAAAGCAGGATGGCGTGGGGTTTCAGGACCCCACTTCATAACTGTGTGTCTGGGTCCCTGAGTGTGTTCAAACACAGCTTCCTTCCCACCTTGGCAGTTGTGCTTGGCATAAGAATTTCCTAAGCTATGACTTATACTATGGTGCCACTTTGATGTCTGCTTTCTTTTCTTAAAAAGATCCATCTGTGGAGAAAATAAGTAACTTAAGGCCACTTGGAAAATGAACCCAAATCTTGAGGAGATGAGAAGACAGTGAGATTTCATAATCAGCACGAGCCTGTGGTTTAAGGGGGCTTTTTTGATTCACAAAGCGCTTGCAAATTCATGGGGCAGACAGTGAAGTCTGCAACTGAGAGGCAGAGAGTTATCTTCCAGCCAAGTCTTCCAGTCAAATCCAGGGCTTCTTTCAGCCCCGATTGCCTGGAAGCCCAGATGGCCTCAGCTCAGCCTAACCTAATAAAGCTGCCACGAGGACATCACAGACCACAGGAGGAAGGCAGTCATGGGGTCCCAGAATCTCTTTCCCTAGAATCTTGGCAACATACAGAAAAGAAGCCTTGAAAAACAAAGGAGAGTCCAAAGGAAACACTATCTTTATGGAGACTATTGGGATCAAAACCACAAGTCTACTTCTTAATACATTAATAATGATTTAAGAGTTAAGGATGTTCTTTCTTAAAAAGAACACTGAAAGCCTGGGAAAGAGATAGCACAGGCAGAGTCCAGTGCCACTCATGTCATCAGAAATGACATCAGTTCATAGTGCCAACTTCAGTGTCACACCAGATCGCACAACACACATTTGGCAAAGTCCAGACAGAGTCCACCAAAGACCTTGTGGCATCAGCCGTTGGGTCCTAGACAGCCCTGAGGTACAATATCTGAGGTTTTGGAGAGGAGGACATGTGAATATAATGAAACTGCTCCAACTAATTACTGGTCATGCCTCCAGCCTGTCAAAAATGGGTGGCACTGCTATTTTTGGTAGCAAACTGAATATTCTTGAACAGAAATTTTTAAAATTACAATAAAAACTGGCATCTACAGCAGGGCTTCTCAGCCTTCAAACTAGTGATCTTTTAAAGTGGATAACTCTGTCGTAATGGACTGTCCATGTATTAGGGGATATTTAGCAGCATCCTTGGCCTTCATCCATTAGATACCAGTAGCACTTCCACAGTCAACAACCAAAAATGGCTCCAGACATTGCACGATGTCTTTGGGGAGCAAAGCGGCTCATGGCAATCACTGGCCTAAGGATGTTGTGTAAGTGACAGTAAGTTAGGACACGCTTTTTTTTAGCACAGCAAAATCTAGTCCCACATAGCTAGTGAAATTGGCTATGAGTTAGTGTAGTTCTTATTTATCTAGATTAAGCTGGGAACCAGTGTGGCTGATTTGCTTGATATGACTTCACGTCCTTGAGACACATGCAAGAACACATCCTTTCTGCTCTCCCCCAGGTACGACCAAAACCAGGGAGTTTGAATCATTAGCCCTGTGTTTATATCCCTCTTACTGTAATTAGCACCATTTCCCCAGAAGTCCTAAAACAAGAGAGAGAGAGAGAGAGAGAGAGAGAGAGAGAGAGAGAGAGAGAGAGAGAGAAGGGAGGCATTGTAAGGAAGCAGAGAAAAGGAACTTAGCTAAAGAAAGAAAGAAAGAGTCTCATCAATCTGAGTGCTATGGTTATCTGGGTCTCGCTCTGACTGTGGGCCAGAGCTGGTGTGGATGTAGTCGGCACCTCTGAGGAGTCCTGACAGGAGCAGAGCAAGTCCCAGGCCAGCAATCATCCACATTTCCTCATTACATTGTACCACTTGGTGCACTTAGTAATGTTATCCAATCTTTCTTAATATTTATTGTTTAGTTTAGATTTTGCATTTGTATACAAGTCATGTTTTAAAACTAATTAGATTGCGATCTAACTATTTTTATTGAGTGAAGATGAGTTAACTGGAAACTACTAGACACTGATGTAGAAAAGAAGGAGGAGTTCTTCACCTGTCACTTCTACTGTATCTTAATCTGGCCCTTCCTACACAGAGAAATTAAAAATCCAAAGGGTGTATATGAAAAAGAGATGAAGGGTAAGAGACCCTGCAGATGATGGGGATGAATATCGAGGACTACAGTTTGGTTGGTGAGAAGCAGGGTGCTCTAAAGGGACGGGAGGAGGCAAAGGGCTTTCCCTGCACAATCTGGGTGGGCAGGACAGCCCAGGGCCCAGACAGTAGCCACGAGAGGACACTACGCAGGCCTTCTCTGTGTGTGCAGGTTTCCAGCCATGCCTCACTCTCCTGACTGCTGCCCTGGGAGCAGCACCGCCCTGGTCATCACAAGATTTCTAATGATCCGTATTGCTGGAAATGAAAGTGCTGAAGACATCCCCGGCCCCTGGGAAAAGGTGCATTTTACAAAGCAAGGGCAGATGGAGCAAAAGGACACTTTTTTAAAGCAGCTGAGTTAGAAAATGGTTTGCTTTATGAGGTGAAGTTTTGAGTGAGCGGTGTGAGTAACAAGCCTCCTTTGACATAGGCAAAGCAGCTAGATGAGACTTCAGATTAAGAAGCCCGTAAGGGGGATTGGCGATTTAGCTCAGTGGCATAAGTGCTTGCCTTGTAAGCGCACAGTCATGAGTGCGATGCCCTGGTACCAAAAAAAAAAAAAAAAAAAAGAAGAAGAAGCCCTTAAGGTGCTGGGTATTGTGATGTACACTTGTAATCTCAGCACTCTGGAGGCTGAGGCAGGAAGGCTGTAAATTCAGGCCAGCCTGAGCAACTTAGTGAGAGCCTGTCTTAAAAATGGATAGAAAGACTGAGGATGTAGCTCAGTGACTTGTCTAGCGTGTCACTGGGTTTGATCCCTGGTACAATTTAAATAAAACAAAAGAAAAACCTCTGATGGGAAGAAGAGGGCGATGCTGCAGGGGTAGCGACGGGAGAGGAAGATGTGTGTACAGAGGGCCTGTGAGGAGAAATGCTGCTGAGAGAGACAGCTGGAGCTGAGACTAGCCAAGCACGAAGTCGAGTTCTGTAGACCCAGCCACAGAGGACCTGGGGCCTTAGCAGCAGAGGGGTCTGAAGAAGATGTTTCTGTCTTACAAAGAGGAAGTGCAAAATGAGAATTGGAGATGTATCAGGAAAACTATTGTAAAAGTCTTATTTATGCATGATGTCAAATGAACCAAAATGAATGAGATTGCATATATTCGTGACAACTTGTCTCCATGTCCTGGGAGCCCCGATGTTTCTAGAAGAGGAAATAAAGCTGCTTTGCACTGAAAGACTAAGTGGGTGAAACTTGCGAGCTAGGTTTACAGACAGACTTATGATTCCGTGATTGTTGAAACCAAGATGTATGTGCATGTGTGTGCATGTACTCATGCGTGTGTGTGTCAAAGAAACACCATGGGGCAAACCTGGAGCCTGCAGCACTCTATATTCACAAGCATCTCACCAGCTCTATGCAGCCCTGAGCAACTATGGGTCTCAGGCCCTGATCCTTGCCCTTGTTTGATCTCAGTGCCTCTCTGTCTTTGAGAGCCAGAGCTAACTTTCAATACAGGTGACAACACAGACATCTATGTTCTGCCAACCAAGGGTGCCCTGCTCTGGCTTTTATTTTGACTGTGCTCTAGGACCTCTAATTCCTTGCTGTGCTAAAGCTGAGGCTTGATAAACCCACCAGGCCCTGGCCTCCCATTTTCCCTCACTCTCATATTTTGCTTGGTGATTCGCTTTTTCCCCATCCCTGGCCATCAGCTCTCCTCACCTCCCTCCCTATTTGCTTTGGCTTTGGACCACACAGAAGCTTCTGGTACCTCCTCCACCTATGCTCTTTCTTGGACATTGATTTCCATCACCCAGCTACAAGGGGGCCTGGACTTTCTTGAGCAAAGGCTCTAAATCCTCCCCAACCTCATCTGAGTTTGTCTCCTCCTAGCTTTAGTACTTTCTGTGGGTCAGATATGCCTGTTCCTCCTTCCTATCCTATAATTTGTGTTTCTTCTCAAGAGTCACTGTTGATTTTCAGGGTGCCAGGGGGAGGGCAAAGGGATGGGCAGTGGTAGGGGAGGTGTCTTCTGGTCATGCCTGGAAAAGGAATGGGGAATGGAAGCCACAAGGGACAGGGCCATCAATGGCTGCACAAAAAGTATCACTTACATATGCATAGAGGTGAGAGAGAGTCCTACTTTATTTTCCACATTAGGGCTGAACAGAGAAAAGGTTCAGGGATAAACCTGTGGGGAAGAAAAGTGGGCGAAGGCACCACCAGGGAAGCCACACAGTCTAGAGAGCAACCTGGGAAGCCCAGGGCTCAAAAGGGAGGAGACCAGAATTGGGATGTTAGTGGGTACACTCTTGGAGAAAGAGCCAGGACTATGGGACAATATCCTCTAGCTCATGCATGATACGATTCTGAGGGGAAAGAAACCCCCCATCCTCATGCTGTCTCCACCCAAAGCCCTTAATAAAGCGGGAGGGGAAGTCTGTCCAGAACAGCAGGTAACACGTGGCGTCTGTCAGGCACTCAAATGGTGTTGGGGTGGAGGCACAGCCACTTTGGACACAGGAAGTCACAGTAGCAGTAGACGGAAAAGGCCAGTTACTGGAGAAGCTTGACATAATTTGCAGGGAAGAGTCCAAAGTGACCGCGACATTGTCCCCGCCACCAGCCCTCATCCACCATCTCGATGTCAGTGATAATGTCGTCTGGATCAAAGGACAGCTCATCGCTTCCCTCTGGAGGGAGGCATTAGGAGAGAGCATTAGGATGGTTAGCTGGGAATCTCTCCGTGCCTGCCCATGCCCGCTCTAAGCCTCAGGGAAAGAAACGGGTCCGGCTTTCCCTTCATGCTGAACCAGGCCCTCCCTTGACTCCTGGGACCCACCCCCCATCCCTTGTACCCAGCTCCTTGGACCCCTCCACACTCACCTCCTTGGTAATCATACAGGGTGACAGCTGAGATCCCCACAGCCCCATCTCTGCTGCCTGATGATCCTGCACAATGAGAAATACAAGCATGTTTTCAGCCACATGGAGAAGGCAGACACACAGGTCCTGCAGGGCCATGTGGAAACTGCTCCAGATTCGGGAGACAGTTCTCCCCCACTCCTGACACCACCACTTACCAGCCTGGGCAGAAGGAGCTGAGGAGTCCTCGGGCTCCAGCACATCCTCGTAGTCCCCCTCGGCCTCTTCATCGTGCTTGCTAATCTCTTCAACGTCCTCGTAGTCATTTTCAGGCTCGGGTTCAGGCTCTACTTCGTACACTGGCTCTTCTTCCACTTGGAAGCCTTCTGGGGTCCTAGGGGGCAGAGCTGGAGGCTCTTCATCATCCTGAAAAGAGACAGAGTAGGGCAGGTGACTTCTACTCTGCAGGAGGAGTCAGTGGAGGCTTTGTGGGGGACACTAAGGCCCCCCCCACCGTTACAGCCCTGCTGCCTATGCCCTTCCACTAAGAGCCTCTGCTCAGGGACACAGGCCTGCAGTCATCCCACCTACCTCCCCAGAGCCTCAAAACACCTGCCAGGAGGTGAGGGGAGAAAAATGTAAAAGGTGTGAGGGAGTGGGAGATAAGTCAGAGCCCTGGGAAGGCCAGGAAAACATGGAGCGAAGGGCCTCGGGACAAGGCTAAGGGAATTGGCTGCCCTAGTTTGTCTAGGACGGGGCAGAGCTTTCTAGAATACAAGCCTTTCAGGGCTAAGACCATAACAGTCCCGGGAAAACCATGATGGATGATTACCTTACCCCTGCCTTAGACTCGAGGAGTAGGGTAGGGAGCGGAGAAGTTCTGGGCTTTGCTTACCTCCAGGGGATCCTGCTTCGTGGGCAGGGAGGGCGCTGGGCATTCCCTGCTGGGTCTTACAGGCTCGGGCTCTGGTGGTACGTGACTCTGTGCTGGAGGCCAGGCCTGTGGAGAATGAAGCATCCTTCCAGTAAGCACACACTGCCTGCATGCTTACATTTCCCAAGAAACCCTCCCGGTCTCTGCCAGTCCAAACAGAACTCCTCCCTCAAGATCGGCTCCAACCTGAAGTGACAGCTCTTTCCTCAGTTCCTTTATGGTGACCTGCCTTCAGTTGTACTAGGTAAGTTCTGTTGGTTATTTTTTCTGACAATCTGTTATACAAGGCCAATTACACAGTCAGATGGAATTTTCCTGATGACAAAGACAGCAGACTGCCAGGCATGGTGGCTCATGCCTGTAGTCCCAGCACTGGGAGGCTGAGGTAGGAGGACTGTTGTAAGTTCGAGATTTGGCCTACAAAGTGAACTCAAGGCCAGCCTGAACTGCATAGCGAGACCCTGTCTTAAAAAGCCAAAAAAATAAGAAAGAAAGAAAAAGAAAAGACAGCAGACATAGGACACAGGACAGGCCTTTGCCATCATCTGAACCCCTCAGAGCTGACCAAGGGTCTCTGGATGCTGATGTTGAGTCCGGGTGCTTACCTCTGAGGAGATTTTCTTGGGCGGTGGGGCTGGCGCTGCTGGCTCTTCCACAGGAGCTGCTGGCCGTCGAGCCTCTTGGCTCATCTTCACCACAGCCTTCCGCTCCTGTTGCTGTCTGGCCATCTGCTTTGCCTTCTCCTCTTCCTCCAGCTTCCTCTTCTCCTCAGCCATGGACTCAAATTTTGCCTTCAGTCCACGTGCACCACTGGAAGCTGCAGACATAGGCAGGAATCAGTTAATATCTAGGAGGAGAGAAGACGGGGGAGAGGACTCCTGGAGGGGAGGTAGAGAGGTGGCGATGGAAGAGTGTAAGAGGATGGTTTGGCCCTGGACCTCAGATTTCCATTTGACGAGTCTGCGTGACCTCAGAATCTTGTCCTTCCTAAATCATAGGCCTTGGTGCCCTAACCAACATCCTTTCCTATCTACCTTCCTTAAATCTATAATGCTCTCTAGCCACCACCATCTTCTGCCTCCTCCCAAGTTCCCACCCCAACCATCTTTCCCAATCTCCATAACTGTGTTCTTTGCTCCCACTTGGTTTCCCAACACTACTCCATCTCCATGTCCACTTGATATGGCTTTTCTAGGAGACAAAACCTGGAATGTGAGTGTGGAGATCAAGTCATTCTCAGCTGATCTAAGCAGTTGATGGTGTGCAGAAGATAGTCTCAGGAGAAGGGAAGGGAGAGGAGACTAATGATCACAGATGGAGAGGATCATTAAGACTCACCAGCTTCTATGGGTGTCGTCTTCTTATAGGCCGTGGTTGGGGCCTCCATCTCATTGAAGCCAACAGCACTCTACAGGTAAGAGGATGGTATGTGTGGTGTGGGGCAGGAACAGGAGTGGCCGTGACCCACAAGGCAGTATGGAGGCACTGGGGCCACTCTAGGAGACATCCCTTACCTATGTGATGCTCAGTGGTAGCACAGGGTTCTCCAATTTTGCTTTGTAGCAGAGAAGGGTAAATATATTCTCACCTGATAGCCTCAGCCCTCCTTTCTAGAAACTCAGTGTACTAAGAATCTCATGTGTCCAAGTCCAGCTGCCTGGAAGGTCACAGAACCCCTAGCTAAGGCAGGAGGAGCAACTAACATAGAAAGAGGAAAATTGCATGGGGAAGAAAGAGACTAAAGACTGTGTCAAACCATGCCAAGCAACCCCGTGAAACTTCACATCGGACAGCAGCTTTCCTTGGCATTTATCTCTCCCTCTGTCTCTCCTTGCTGCCCTCATCTCCTCAGTTAAAGCTCGGGCTGTAGAATTCATGTCCATCAGATTTCGAAGACAGTCCGTGGGAGAGCAAGAGCCCAGTGGGCAGACTCAGGACACACAGCACCCTGTCCCTCCCTGCCCCAGCACTGCCACTCACTATTCTCCATGTGCTTCCCTCCCTTGTTAAGACATGGCTGTCCTGGTGCTTTACCTTATCCACTCGGTCCTTCTGGATTCCATACTGGCCACCAAAGCCTTTGGCATAATCTGCAAGAAAGAAAGTTCTGAGGGTCAAACAAGAGGTCAAGATGCAGGGAGCGGATGTGGGGAGAGAGAGCAGTGGGAAAACAGACTGAAAACAGGGAAAGGGGGAGCAGAGAGGTACAGAGGAAGTAGTTACCAGAAGACAGAGGCACGGATGGAAAGAGAGGAAAAAGGATGGGAAGGAGGAAGTTAAAGAACAGAGGAGACCCGTGATAGACAAGGAGGAATAGGAGAAGACAGGACAGCCCTCCGCCAAATGCTGAGTCCCTCTGTGAAGCCAAGAGCCTGGAACATTCAGCCAAGCAACCCCGTCCTCAGCGGCCCCCTCTCTGGAGCCTCCTTCCTCTGCTTGCCCTTAACCTGGCAGCTGTCCCCTCTGCCCACCCAGCTGTCTCTCTGTCCCACTCTGTCCCTGCTCAGCTTCCCGCAAGGAAGGAAGCAGGCCCTCGGCTCCTCGGCGGCCTCTCCCTCCCAATCCCACTCACCTCTCTGGGACTCGTGTTTCTCCGTCTCTCCCTTGTAGTCATATCCCAGGGCAGCTTTGTCCTTTTTGTCCTTCTCCACTCCATAACGGCCACCAAAGCCCCGAGAGTAATCTAGTTAAAGGGGCAGTCATGAGAGCCCACTCTCAGCCCATGGGAACATGCTGGAGAAAAGTTGGGAGGCAGAGAGACGGGGGCTTGGGGAGAGAGCAGCCTCAGGCACAGGCTGGCTTGATTGAACACTGGCCCCCCTTTCCCTCTCCTTCCTGGCTTTCATCCCCTAGAGGACCATTTCAACACCCAGCCCACCAATTTTTGCAAGGAAGGGACAAGTATAGAAAGTGTGCGGAGAGATCGTTAGGACAAAAGTACAGACAGAGATGTGAAATACACCTTTGCTCTATGCTGATATAAACAGAGATGTGAGCAAAAATGTAACACTTTCTTAAACAGTGAAACTCAAAAGAAGAAAATCTTGATTCCACAAAGATCCAGAGGAGGCAAGCTGAGTATGTGTGAGGGTAATTGAGAGGTGACATCACAGGGAATGTAGAGCATCTTACATTCCAAATTAGGATCTAAAGTCTGGGGTTCTGATATCTGTACAACAGCAGACAAAGCAGGGGAATGGGAGCCACAAATGAGACTATGTCTAGTCCTAATAAAAGAATTCTAGAGAAGCATTCTCTTGTCCAGGAAATGGAGAAAGGGCTTGTAGTTTGTTCAGCATTTGATGGGGGAAATTTAATTGTGAGATCTGAACACTTGAGGCCCTATACCTTACAAAGGTTAAGTAGACAATGAAGGAATCTCAAGCAACATAGGTACAATGGACAAACTTCTTGAAAAGTACAACATGCTAAGCTGACTTAAGAAAAAACAGGAAGTCTGAACAAACCTGTATGCATTTAAGAAATTGTACTCAACAAGGACAAAAAATGAACCATTACTATTAACAGCTCTAGAACTAGGCCAGGAGTGGAATCCAGATTTCTTTATATTAGGTTCAAAGTATATGAAACTCCTATAAAACAAATATCCCTGTCCCCCCTGAAATAAGTTCACAAAAATGAGAAAATAAATAACTACTAACGAAAGCAGATTATTCAAGCAGAATTAACTCCCAAGAACTGCAAATGATAAAATTTTTGAAATAAGCTATAAAACAAATACATTTAAAATGATTAATAGCTTGAAGAAGGGAGGGTGTCTTATAGAAAACATTATGGAAAAAGAACCAACATATTTGCAATAGAACCAAAGTGACTTGCAAGAAATGAACACACTTGCAACTTAAAATTGTAGTGTGAAATTTAAACAATAATTTGCCATATCTATAGGGAGGGGGGATTAGTGAATATATCATCGATCAATGAGAATTAACCAAGGCACAGCACAGTGAGGTAAAGAGATGAAAATAAAGCAGAGAAATTAAGAGATACCGAGAAGAGAATGAAAAGATCTAATATGCACCTAGTGGAGTCCAGGAGGAGGAATAAAACCCGAGAGCAGAGAGGAACTGTCCAAAGAGAAAACGCCTGAGACCTCCACAATGAGGCTCATGCTTGAGGCAGGAGAGCAGAAATAAGTCTCATGTTGGATCATAGAATAGATCTAAAACCTACACATACATCAGAGACAAAACAAAAACCTTTAAAGTTTCCGGAAAAGACAGAGATAAGTTATGTTATCTACAGAGAATGATGATGATTAGATTGACACAAGACATGCCAAAAAAAATGAAATATTGTCAATGTGATGTAGGAAAAATAAAAATGAAGAGTGGTACAAGATAAAAACATTGTTTAAAGACTGACATTTCCTCCAGAATCTCTTACTAAAAGAGTTAACAAACCATCTACTTTAACAAGAAAAAAATGAAAGAAGAAAAGAGGAAACAATGAAATACAATAAACAATGATGAGCCTAGAGACTGACCGCTAGTCAGTTTAAGTAAGCATTATTGTTGGACAAGACATCATGCCTATATCTTATACTCTGAATAACTACTACGAAGATAGCAATGTACAATGTACTTAATTATTGTAACTCCTCTACTAACCTGCTTTGAGACTCTGTTTTATAGTTATTTTTATTTTTTTCTTTTTAAAATAAATAAATAAGCATTCACTATGTAATAATGAGGGACAGGATAAACTCTAGATATAACCAATATTACCAGACAGCAACAACGTGGAAGAACGCAGAAAGAATCCATGGTAGAGAGAATGCAGTTAAAATATTCTAAGTCTCTTATATTATTCATGAACAAGTGGCAATTAGTTTTAAATTCAAGTCAAAGATACAACTTAAACTTTAAGGGGAGCCTAGCATAAAGGAGTGGTATACCTTAGTTTTAATCATCATAGGAAAAAAGAGATTAAAAGAAACTTGACCAATCTCGTAGAAAGCAATAAAAGCATGACCAGAAGCGGGAGCTGGGCAGTGGGACCCAGGGGAGCTGAGGGAGGCTCCTGGGAGGTGATGTCTTAGCAGGACTGTGGTGGCCAGGTAGGTGTGGAGGCTGAAGCGCAGTTCCTTGCCTTTCTGAGATGCGTGCTTCTCTACTTCTCCTTTGTAATCAAAGCCCACTGCTGACTACAGAGAAGAGAACAAAGAACTAGTTAGAATCCGAGAATTCAGCCTTCTCCCCAACAGCCCACCCTTACTCCCAGCTCAGCCCCCGAGGCAGTGCACAGGGCTCAAGGGTGGGTATGGGGTTTACGTAGACGGTCTGGATGGCTGGTGCCAGGCAGTGGACTACAGGACAATGAGCACAGCCTGTGGATGCAGACAGTTCTAGAGCCAAATCTTACCTCCCTGTTCACAGCTGTATAGCTTTAGGCGGGTTCCTTAATTTTACTGAACACTGATCTCTTCAAATAAAAAATGAGAAGTACATCTGCCGCATCTACCTCAACTGTAGAATGAGAGAAATGATCCCTCTTCATCTGGGACAACATGACAACTAAAGGGAACAAGATCACTCTATCTGTCTCCCTATCATCTGTCTACCTGTCTATCATCCATCTATCTACCTATCATCTATCTATCCATCTATATCTATCTCTCACCTGCATTGAGTCCTTCACTAAACCACTATTTTTCTTCTTAAATAATCTTCTCAAGACTGAAATGAGATAACAGAAAAATGCCCTATAAACTATACAGACCATGCACATGTACTGCTGGTTGACTTGCCATTCAGTTTCATTGTGCAGCAGTGCAAACACAAACATGGGTATTTAGGTGGGATGGGAGCAATCCGGAGCAGCTGGATCCTAGCTGGCTCCAGGACCAAGAGCACTGGCCAGACACCCAACATCACCTCAGAGCAGCATTTTCATTGGTTCAGTAACTACAGGTCTCCAAGCAAGTCTAGATATGATGGGTGCTAAGGAGTATTGTTTTTTGATTTACATGACACTAAATTATGTAGGTGATTAAGTTTGTAGCAAACTATCATTGCCTTTAAAATTATTTTCTGTGTTTTCCTCTCCTTTATTGCATGTTTTCAACTTTCTGGGTTTGATTTGGTTCCCCCCTCACACACACACACATTACCTATGCAAACAATTAACTTCTAGCACTTAGCTTTATGGATTCAGTATCACCAAATTAGCAATAGCTGATAAATTTTTAAAAATCTCAGTCATTTGTGAGGGAGATGTCCTCTCTCATTGTGCAGCTGTAGGAAAAAAGACATCAGCCTGCACCATGAATTATAAATTCAGAGTCTGATTTAATAACTGTGGAACGATGGGCTTCAGTGAATCCAGTTTTATTCTCCTATTCTGTGTATCAGCCTGTAATCATACTGTGTTATGCTTTCTCCTTAAGATCACTCTTGTACAAAGGAATCTATAAACAGCTGGACTTTAGAGACTGATGTTAATCCTGTGAAAAGTAACTCTTACCTTCTAAGAATTTATGATCCTAATCACTTTAGTTAGTTTTTTGCTGCCATAGTACTAATATTTACACTGACCTCACCTTTCCTGGAAGGCATCAACATTTATTTATAAGGTTTGGATGTAAGTCCAGAAGAATAATTTCGGAAATTCTGTCTGCTCACTTCATGTGCGCAGGTATAATAAATTGAGGAGGTCTTATTCGAACAGAGTTTGAAGACCTTTGTCTTAATTTATTTCTATTTTGTAGGCTGGACATGGAGCCTGGGGCCTCCTGTATGCTAAGCAAGTTCCCTCCTGCTGAGCTGCACGCCCAGCCCAGGTCCTCATTTCAACAAATGCCTTCAGCTGAGCATGTTGCTGCCAATGTTCACACCAGGGAACCTGATGAGGGAGGTCACAGGAACTATCCTTATGGTGATGCCTGACTCCAATATCCACTGTCTTTTACCTTAAAACGTGTGTCTACATCTCCTTGGGGGTGAGTGTTGGTAAGTCCCACAAGATTGAAGGAGAAAGGTCTGAGGAGGAAGGTTGTCACTTACTTTGTCGGCTCTGTCTCTCTCAACTCCATATTTGCCCCCAAAGCCTTTAGCAGCATCTGTCTGTGAAGAGTGTTTCCCCACCTCCGCGACATACTCATGGCCCACAGCACTCTGAGAAAAAGTAAGAAAGAATGAGGCAAGGGGCCAAGCCACCTTGGAAAAATAGATACAGAGATGCATGGATGTTAGCATGGGACGTTGTTAGCATACAAAAAACTTTCATCTCTTGCAGTGGCACCACGTAATGTGTGACAGGAGAGCATGGTGACTCTTCCCGGACCCCTGTGCCTCCCTCGCTGCCGTTAGGGAGACATCATTCAGAGGTTGCCCAGAGGATGGGCGAGGGCCACAGGAAATAGTAGACCAGGTACACTGAACAAAAACACCTAAAACAAGGCCACCAAATAAAAGTGAGCAGTTTGAGGGAGATCCAAGGGGACTGAGTGGATGATACCATGACTGGAGTGAATTTTTCACTAAAACAGTTATGTTTTTGTCCTCTCTCTTATGTGTGGCCACCAAAGTTTAGAAGTAGATCCTGAACTTTTCTACAACACATAATGGGTAATATGAATATATACCAAATAATCACTAAACACATAGAAAAAAAAGCAAGTAAAGGAGCATCTTAGACACAATACATTTTAAAAAGCAGCAAATGACTCTAAAGCCCATTTTTCTCCTCCATTTTCCCAGATAGTGCGCTGGGGGCTGCACAGGGCCAGCTACTCTGAGTTCTTGACTATTTTCTGTCATCTACATCTTAATGAACTGAGATAAAAAAAAAAATTGATACTAACCATATGTTGACATTCTATTTTAAATCCCAAACTAATACTGTACTTTTAACAAGCTCTAAATCATAAGCCAACACATAAGTCAATGAATCATTTATCGTTTATATTTTAAAGCAAATTTCTCCCTTTCAACTCACTTTGTCCATTCGGTCTCTTTCCACTCCGAAGCGCCCTCCATAGCCGTGGGATGCTTTGGGCCCTGACTCCATCTCTTTCTTCTTGAGAACATCGTGTTCCTCTGACACTTTACTCCTCAGCTGGTGGATGCTGGAAGTAACCACATGATGAGACCTGACGCAGGAAGGCCAAGGAACCCACCCTTCCAGGGAAACACACTTCAAGGTCTGTCTGCTCAGGTGTAGCAATAACCTGAGTCCCCACAGCATACTGGTGATGGTTCTGCAAGCCCAGCTCAGTAGACCTGTGGATGACAGCCTGATGGAAATTCTTCAGGAGCCATTCGAATTTCCTCTATCTATTATTTTGCTCATGAACATAACCTGTTGGAGACCACTACGAAGCAAAGCGGCTCTGAGCAGGATTTAAATTTTACTAATTGGCTTTCTATGTTATCTGTGAGTCTGTCCTAGGCCTAGGCCTCTTGCCTGGTGACAGGAACTGGTTCATAGTAAGTGAACCTCTGTGAATCACTGATCCTTGCTGAGGCCTGTAGTGGCCTGTGAGGCCAGAGATATCTCAAAGGACAAGATAAGGCCACAACTGTGGACACTCTGGCTCCAACCCCAATTAACAAAGTAGAGACTACAGCTGCAAAGATTACTCCTACAGGCTCACTTCTACCATGTCTTCATGATAAGTCAGTGCTACTGAACTGACTTGATTCATTACTTGGAGACATCCTTGAAGTGACTCCCAAGGTCCTGCTCATTGCCTGAACTTTCCTCTGTCTCTCCGCCTTTTGTTCTTGGTCCTAATATAAGTGGACTGATCCAGAGAAGCCTTTGTCTTTACCCTCAAAGCCTTGAGCTTAATTAAAGGGTTTTGACCCTCCTGGAACCCTAAAAATCATGCAATTTGTCTCTTTTTATTTAACCTCTGCCGTACACTCGTTTGGGAGATTGGGGATCTAGGACAAAACCCGATAATAATCTTCTGATCTTATACCTATTTTTCATGTTCTCTGGTATTAGAGTACAATGATTCTATATTGTAATAACTGGGACATTACCGTTCTCTCTGAGTGGACCTTTTTTCTATCAGTTTGGTGACTGATCTTAAGAAGCATAAAAATATTCATATGTACTTGGGCCCACACGTTCTAAAGAGTGTACTCCAAAGAAATAATTTTAAATACTTACAGCAGAGCTTAATGTTTAATCATTCATTAAAACTGTATATATGGTACCAGAAAGCAAGAAAAAAATCTATATGACCAATAACTGGAAAATAATTTAGAAAATTGAAATATCACCTTTTAGCATATATTAGAAGTCACTAAAAGTGAAGATTATAAAAATGCAGCATTGGAAAACTTTATTTATGCATAAGTATTTGTAATTTTTTTTAAATCAAGAATTAACATCTTGAACCCTTCCACCCCAAGCCCAATAGTTTCTAAGGCACTAATAACAAAAACTAACTATAAGAATCAGTGCTCCCCAGATCCTGCCATGGTGGGACTTAGGCAGCTTATTCATCCGCCTTCTTGGGAAATGCCCCTGGCATGGGCCAGGAGGAGAACCAGCCTTTCCCATTAGCCTACCTGTGTGCAGGCTGAGAATCAAACATCACCCTTCCTCGCTTAGCAACTGTGGATAGATGTCTCAGTATCTCTTAGGAAGATAATCATATGCAATATAGCACATATGGGGGATTTCCTTTTATCTTCTGTTTGAAGGCAAAGGCTGTTTTCACTGTTTTGTTATGTTTGTTCTGCTCTATTCAATACTCTCTTTCAATTGATTTTGTAACGTTCTGGTTTTGGTTTGATTTTACTATACCCAATTGACTGGACAACTATTGTGAAGATAACGAGATATACTCTGATAGCTGTTACTGTTATCCCAGTACCATGCTGTGAAGTTCTGTACCAATTTCACTGTATTGTCTCAATTGGCTTTGTTCTGCCTTGTTCTGTTGTATTTTTACTATCTTAAAAATAAAATTTTAAAAAACTAACTATAAATTCACAAATCATTAACTGTTATAATCATTTAAAGCCCAAGTAACTTTGATTTGGGATACTGCTCAGTAAGAGTGGGAAAATCAAAGGCGGTATCATCTACTTCACATTCACTTTCTTCTTCAAAAAGATTAGACAGACCTCTGCCAGTGGGCTCAGCCTGAGAATATGAAACCACAGCTCAGCACCAGTGCCATTTTATTTACAGGGATATCCTCTTGGGATTCCCCCATACAAGGACCACTGGGATTCTTTAAAACATTTGAGCAAAAGAATCCCAACTAAAAAAACTTGACTTTCTGCAATAAATAATGCAGGTTTGCTGGGATCTCACTAGCTCAGGTCAGACAGACCGTTTTGTTGCAGGTAGGGTGGCCACCTCAATGGAAATTATCTTCCTTCATGGAAGAACAGATACATCTGGAGGTCTGGTGGAACACTCCCATTAAGGGCCTTTTAAAAGCTTGCTGGGCTTTAGCCACAGTTAATTTTAGAAAGCTGGCTCTGAGCCAGGTTGAATTAATCTAAGTGCTGGAAGAACCCTGTGTTCCCATGTCTCCTCTAACCTGCTGGCAGTGGAGCCCACAGAGATCCTATATTGTAGTTCAACAGAACCAACACTTTAGAACTGGCTGTGTTGGAAAAGCTGCTTGTTCCAAGAATGTGCAAATGACTGTTTAAGGTTGCACAGTCAAAGTGTTTGGATGGAGGACAAAAAAAAAAAGGGTGAACAGTGCTTTTGAGAAAAACTTGCAAGGTTTTAGTGGTTTCAGTGATCTGTTTTTAAATTACATAAATTTTTATTAACAGAATTTCATATGCAATTCCTTCACTCATTACTCATCAAGGTCAATTCAATGAAGTTCTTTGTCTTCAAGATAACCCTTTTTTAAAGAACAGTTGCTTAATTCAGTCATTTTATCATAATGCTTTTTATCTCTATTTGAATTATATAGAATGAAGGCTGCAAAACGCCTGGGATCTTATATTTAAATTTCTCCCAGCGGTTTAATTTAGGAGCATTTCGGGAGGATGCTTCCACTTTGCTCAGACACCTTCTCTAAACATGCATGAATTCATATTCATTTCCTAAGCTACCTCACTGAGGAGCAGTACAGTTATCAAAGGTTTTTTAAAAGTATGAGGCTTTCCATACTTTTTGCTGTCTTGCAATCCCTTATCACAGGCTTAAGAAATAGACCTGTAAGCAAAACAGAACTACAGAATTACTCGATGAGGGGTTTCCGGTAATGTGCAGCCACAGCTCAGCGATTGTTAAATGGTATTTCTACAATGTAGTCATGGACATTTGGAAGTTGAAAATTAACAAATATTAGCTATGGTCATGTGAAATATTTTAGTACAAAATATTACACCTTAACATTGGAAAACATCTCTAACAAAACTTAAAGGTAACCTCAAAAAAAAAAAAAAAAAAAAAAGGAGAGACAAGCTAGACTCATGAGTTAGAAAAGTCAGTCTTATAATTTAGGATGTCAACCCCCTCCATGTCCTATGCATTCAATGTAATACCAATCAAAATCCCAATGGCATTTTACAGGAATTGACTAGCTTATTCTAAAATGTACGTGGAAGTATAATCCACTGGAGTACTGAAGAGTTTTATTTATATTTTTAAAAGAAGTATAAAATGGGAGGACTTTTAATTAATGACTTATAAAGCTACAATAATCTCTGCAAGTCCACAAGCTGTCAGGCTATACGTATAGCTCAGTGAAACAGAATGGAGTTCAGAAATAGATTCACTGTGATATGGTCAAATATTCCAGCTAAGTCAATGGGAATAGATTTCCTTTTTGAGTGTGTGTGTGTGGGGAGGTACCTGGAATCAAACTCAGGACCTCACACATGCCAAGCAGGTGCAGTGCCATTGAGCTATATCCCTGGCCCCAAAGAACAGACTTAAAGTGGCTCTGGACAACTAAATAACCCTGTGTGGGAAAAGATGAGCCTTGGTCTTGATCTTTAAAAAGTCAACTTGAGGGGCTGGGGATTTAGCTCAGTGGCATAAGCGCCTGCCTTGCAAGCAGGCTGTCGTGAGTTCGATCCCTGGTACCGATAAAAATGAAAAAAAGACAAAAAAAAAGTCAACTTGACATTCAATCAAAAGTTAAATGTACAAACTAACCATATAAAACAGAAGAAAATCTTCACAACTCTGGGGCAGATAAGAATTCCTGAGATACACTAACAATAAATATTGTTTGATAAGTTAGACTGCCTTGGAATTAAAATCTTCTGCTCTACCAATGATGTCGTTAATGAAATGAAAGGAAAATTACAATTTGGGAGAAAATATTTGTAAAAGTCATGAATGGTGCAAGATAAAATGCTTAATAAAGTTATTCACAAAAGTAATACAAATTAAAATCATCACATGCCCATAAGAGTAGTTGAAATTAAAATTACTGACCAGGATGTGGCGCTGCTGAGACCTGGGCAATGGTAAATAGGAATGAAAACAGTAAATACCTCCCAAAAAATAGTTGGGTAGTTTCTTTTTTTTTTTTAATTACTTTGTACCCTTTTATGTTGGGTAGTTTCTTAAGAAGTTAAGTAAACTCTTACTATATGACTCAGTGATTTTATTCCTAAATAGTTCCCAAGAGAAATAAAAATATGTGTCAGTAAAAAGATTTGTACCCAAATAGTCATAGTATCTGTGTAATAGATTCAATGTCCAGCAACAAGGTAATGTTAAAACCATGTTATACAATGAGATACTTTTTGACAATAAAAAGAAGCAAAACACTGATTTATACTACACCATGCCTAGGTCTCAAAAACATTACACTGAATGAAAGACAAACTCAAAAGAGTAAAATCATCATTATTTCATTTACACTGTATGTGATATTCTAAGACAGGTAAAATCCCCCCATCTTGGTAAAAAGCAGATCAGTGTTTACCTCCAGACAGAGGTGGAGAAGGGCGGCACTGACTACAAAGAGGCACAAAGAAAATTTTTATGGCAACATAAATACTCTATATCTTGCTTGTATTATATTTTTCTCCCAAATATATGTATGACCAAAATTCACCACACTGGCTGTGTGTGGTGGGCTGCATCTGTAATCCTAGCACTTGGGAAGCTGAAGCAGAAGGATCACTGTGAGTTCAAGGCCAGACTATTTCCTTATAATTATTGTATTCGATAAGGTTGATTTTTAAAATAAGAAAATAAAGAAAAATTAAATGAAATATTTTAGGCATTCGTAAAGAGGTTTGTGCTTATGGATTAAATTATAAAATGTTATTAATGCCAACCCACATGTCATTCTAAAAGGCAATAATTCATAGGAATTTATATTCTATTTCAACTAGAGAATTGCAAACATGACAATATTGTGTTTATTAGAGAGAAACAATGTCATGTATTGGTTAGAATTCAGCTCATGGAGTCAGACTGAGCTGAATTTAAATTGTTAATATATTACTTGTGTCCTTGGACAAACTGTTAAATATCAATACATCTGGTCACTTTTCTGTGAAATCAAGATGACAGCATCATTCTGGGTTTTGCATGATGTCTAATAGCTCCATAATTATTGGCCATCGGCCCCGAGTTAGAGACATGGCTCTCCGCAGTTCCTCCGTGAAGTAGACAGGGCTGGTACTATTATTTCTAATCACATAGGGAAATAGAAACAGGGTAGTGAAATAATTCCCTTTAATGCTTTGATTCCTTATATAGGAGAGCTGAGACCAGTGTCTGGATTTTCAGAATTTTATTTTAATATTCATTTGCACTTGGCATTAAATGTCAGGGCACAAGAAAGTAGACAGGGCCACTGACTCATGCATATTATGGTTAGCACATAGTGAAGATCTAACCTAAGAGCCAGGCAGGTTTCAGGAAGCACCAAAGACCTAGCCTGACACTGTGCTATTCCAAGTGCAATTCTCAACTGTTTTCCACAACAACATAAGAGAAAAAATTGAGAGTACATGTTTAGAAACTTTCATAGCAACTTGATACAGTGATCTTACATATGCTGATTCTAAAAATAAAAATTATGCATGTATTTTCTACTATTTATTTTTCCAGAAATTCATTGTTACTTTATTTTATGAAAATATCGGTCTGTGACAGATTTGAAAATGAACAAACATGAACCCTTTTCCAGAGAGCTTCCTAAGTACTGTCACAGCGTAATAAGGTTCTTTCCTCTGAATCTATACAAGGAAGGATGCCAAAGAAACAAGGGAGCAAGTGGAGCGGGGCGACAGCCTGGGCAGCTCAGGCGCTCTGCTCTGTGCGTGCTGGATGAGGGAGGGATGGATATGTACTTGTTGCTCCCCTTTCCTCCCCTCCATCTCATTTCCCTGCCTCCCTAGATCCCCTCCCAAACTTCACAGTCTAATCTAAATTTATTCCGGACAGACCTAAAAAAAACCCCACACTGGTATGGGGGAGGTAGCAAGATTACTGAGAACCTGTCACTTCCTTCCTGCCTCAGGCCAGCTCAGCTCAGCAACCACCACAGCCTTCTCTGACTTCCCTCTTTGCTTCGAGAGCCTGAGTGATTCGCATCTGACTGTGAAGGCTGGCTTAGCCACAATAACTAGAGAGAACCCAGGAGATTGGAGATTTCATATAGGACTACCCTTTAGAGATCTCTCTGATATATACAGGAAACCAAGGATCAGAGAGGATGAGAGATTTGTCCAAGATGACCTGACCTGAATGCAGCACAGATTGGGCCTGAGTAAATGGCAAGTGAGTAAACTTTTGTGACAATATCTTCGATATTTATTCCAGTGACTACAGATCTAATTAGGTTTACAAGGAGATATGCAGGGATACCAGTCAAAGTGATCTACACCATGGAGTTTTGCAGTCCGTGTAAACACCACTTAGTAAAAAGAAAGCCCATCATCTATTTATATATTTATATTAGTTTTTAAGAAGGAAATTGTAAATAACATCACTGCACAGCCAGGTGCCAAGTCTATAGGAGACAGTGATGTATGCTATTTTATTGAACTCTCATCTTGAATCCTAATCTGGAGGGCAGCTGTTCTAATTTCCACTGATAACTGAGAAGAGATGCAGAGTTTCTGTGTCTATGTTCACATACTTAGCAGTGGCTGAGTGAATCTAAATCTATCTGATATACAAACATAAACTCCCCTACACATTCATAGCAGGTTGTAGAAATCATTTTAAAATGTTCATACCACAGCAAGAGAAGGGTACAATGTGTAGCCTCATCCTGACAGTTTCCAGGATTCCAGGGCTGAGTAGCCTTTGCTCAAAAAGGAAAAGGACCTTTTAAAAAAATCTATGAGCCTGTAGAGGAGTAAGCATCAAAACAGCTTCTTAAAAGATTCCAGTCCTTTTTTTTGTCACCCCAAATACTTCCAGAATTGCTTGCTTAAGAATAATTTTTATTGAAGTATTCAGTTCAAATCAGTTATGTCTGATTACACAATTACATTAGGTACTGAATATTTTCAAACTGCACAAACATATACCTAGTTTTGTTAGTATGTTGCTTATGCCATGTGGGCATCCACTGGTACTTTTTGTAAAACGGGATTAAGACATTACATTGCTAAATGTGTGTGTGTGTGTCCATGTGTGTATTGAAATAGAATTTAAAACTGCATTATTTTTGCCAGTTTGCGTGTAATTGTCAATTCTTTAATTTTATTCTTCTTGTTACACTATTTATTGTGTTTGCTTTCTTTCTATCACTTGACCTTCTGATACTACCCAAAGCAGACAGTCCAGGTTAGATGAGTTCAATAATCGATGGAAGAGAAGAGGCGATCTCAATCTCAAGACACAATCCCACAGAAAACCCTACGTAAGTCAGTGAGTTCCTCCTCTCTTTAATAACAGAGGCTATTTCTAGTAAAATAAACATTGGACTACAATCTTAACACCCTCCGCATCATTGCTTACATAGTTTTAATCATCAGATTTTCCAAATGTCATATTTCTTCATAAAGCCTTGCAACTTCTGCAAAGTAGCCGAAGACAAATTTGCATTTTAAATATTTAGGCCAAGTATGAGATTTGATATTGTCCCTTTACAGCATTTATTCTGATTTCTTCCCCATGATATTTCGGCTAATCCTTCTTTGCCCATGTGAAGTCATTCTACATTCTAAGCAGATATTTGCACTTATATAATTGAAGAGATCAGTGAATGATGATACATGACAGATGGATGACAGGTAGGTAGGTAGACACAACCTTAGCATCTGAGTCACTTATCTCTGAATCTCTCATGACTGACTAAAGAAAGAGAGGCAGTTACTACAGTAGACTCCGTTGGAGAAACAATGGTTGTTAGATATAAAAGGCAGATAATACAGTTAGGGGGATACAAGGAGGGACGTGACATGAGAGCACATGGTAACACATGTACGGCCCATGGAAACAAACTTTAGGAAAAAACCAAACATGCAGACGTGAACCGCCCCTGTTGTGCCTTTCACATATTCCCCTCACTCTCTGTTTTCGTTGTGCTCCCTGAATACCCTGGCCCGGTCCCTCTGATTCTTACTTGATGTGCTCTGTGTGTCCAGAGCCTTCGATGGTCTTGGCTCCCCACCGTTGCTCTTTCTCAGAGATGTCATTCTGTAAAAGACAGCATCCAGCAGGAAATGTGTCACACAAAAAGGGTCATATCTGACAAACATGGCCTCTATTTCCCCTGCATTGGGCAGGGTCTTTGCATCCTAATCCCATGTAAAAATTAAACTGGTGAGTTCTGAAACCTGCATTACTGCCCTGCATCCTTCACACTTTCCCCTTCCTGCAAGATCTCAATCCACCCAGATCACATACATGCAGTCCAAATCTCATCACCTGTGCTCGCTTTGGCAGCACATGCACTAAAATCAGAACCAAATCTTAGATCACAGGCCACAGGAGACCTAGATTCACCTGATGCTCAGTTTCAGGACAGCCTGTCATAACCGGTCAATCACCCTGCCAGACGCGTCCACGCCTGTCTCCTCCAGTCAACACCAGCTATCACACATGTCCCAACACGACAGCTAACTGTCCTGCAGACCCATCCCTCCCCAAGGGCTACCTCAAGGGCCAGGTGGTCCTTTGCTAAGCCCCCGCAGAAGGCTGTACCTTCTGAATATCTGTACCCAGCTTTCTCCCCCACTACACCCTCATTGTCCAAGCAAAGCTACTTCCAAACTTACCACAAAGTCAGGGTCTGTGTCCCAGTCATCACCCTGTGTCTCCACAGAAACAGACACATCATGGCCCACCACTGACTTCCACATCTGAGAATGGCAGGAGACGGCAGGAGCAGGGGTCCAAAGCGTGGAGAGGAGAGAAGACAGGAATGCCGAAATCAGCGACACAGCCACCCAACTTTCCTGCCATTTTTTTCTTAGAAGAAAATAGAATCTTGAGGCATAGCAAGTGGAAGTTCTAGAAGAGCACTCAGAGAAGAGGGTGAGGTTCATGTGAGACATGTGTGGCCTCGGCCTGCGTGAGTCTTGAGAAAAGCATTCAGAGCTGTAGATAAGATTAAATAACCTGGATCCCGAAACTGCTAGGAATATTCACTTGTGTCCAGAGCTTGGCCAGCCAGTGGCTTGCAGTGGTATCACCAGGGACAGGTGCTGGGACAACCACAGAAGTAAAATGCCATTTCACTCAGATTTCTACATATGACTCCTTTCATAGCCATAGAAACAAAAATTAGTCCCACTCCTGGAAAAATAAACCTCTCTTCCTGTCTACTACCTACTTTACTATATTGAGAATTTTTCCAACTCTCACTGCAAGTGCTGTCCCAGTCACTCTGATGCCGGCCACTGCACAAGTGTGGGTAGTTGCTTGGGACAACCAACTGAAATTCCTGCACCGAACAATGGGAAAACATTATTGCTAAGAATAAGTTATTTACCAGTCAACTTAAAAAGGAGATAAATTGTATTTCTAAAGACAATAAATGGTTCAAAAATTGCATGTGGTATATGCCTTACTTTAGGCATCAGAAGGTATTTGATTTCTGTTCACCAAATGAGCATTAAAGAAATATTCTGACTATAAAAGAATCTCACATTGTTATTCTGCTAAGGCTACCCCAGAGTTCCCTCTAGCCTTGCCACTTGGGGCTAAGAGCTGCCTGGTTGCTCTATCTGTGGCCTCCTGGATCTCGAAGTAAGGAGTTTACAATGGACAGTGCTCATCTGCTCTACTGACCCAGGGATCAGGTGCTAGCTGGCAACTCCCCGCCCATCCTGCCCTCTTCAGATAGCTCCTCCCACTGGAGGTCCTCCCCTCCTCTTTGTTATTTCTTAAAGATCTTTTATAGCCAATCCTAGGGCTGTCTTGTCTTTCTACCTAGGCCCCCAGTTTATTGTTTCTGTTTCTACTTGGAAAGTGCATCCTCCCCCACACTGTTTGACTAATACCTTAAAATTCAGCCCAAGGGAAAGTCAGAATAGACTGATTAAAGAAGTTCCAGGGGAAACACTGGAGAGACCTGGATGGAATCAGCCCAGCCCCAGAGCAGCTCTGTCTTTCTGCTGGGACAACAGGTATGGGTGAAAGGTGGAGACACGTAAACAAGACGTGTAATCCTGCATTCTTACAGTTCCTGATTCTCACATCCTGGCTTTCGGGCTTTCTGCAACACAAGGACTCACACAAAAGGCTTGAAAGAAGAAGTCTGAAATATTCATAAGTAATAGGGAAATAATGAGGACTCGGTCTCATGTTTCCTGCAGCTCAGCTGTCTTTTCTCATCAACCTCTTGCCTTTATCCATGTCTAAAAGAGAAAAGCTTCTGACAAAGAGATAACTTAATATTTTTTCACCTACTGACCAAAAATCAAGACAAGATTGCTGTCCAGAAGAGAGAGAGACTAAAGATCTAGTGAAGCATGGTGCCAGGCTGCCAGGCATGAGGCTGAACTGCAGTATCAGGAAAGCACGCAGAGTGGCAGTCAGGAGAGCTGGCAACCTCCGCTGGCCTCTGTGGGCCATGGTTACAGAATCAATGCAGAGGATGTACTCTGCAGGGGACCAGACTAGGTTACTCACAAATACCAACTTCAAAAATCTGGAAAATCGATTCTCAGTTCCTCCGTGGAAAACAAAGGGTCTACCTTGCTGATCTGTAGTCTTTTCTACTTTTAACACTTGAGTTTTGTGATCTTACAGTCATGGCAGCCCAGATTAGGGATCATGCCTGCCCTTGGCCCCCACCAGTCCCCGTTCTCAGCATTACAATAGTAACTGCTTCCTGCTTTGGTCTAGTTCCTCGTGCTTTTGCCTTCCTGTTAGACCCTATTCTCCTCGTCAAGGGAGGTCTGTCTCCATCTCCCATGGTGCTCTTTTAAGTGCAGGAGTAGCAGCCCTTAAGTAGAGTACAGGTTGTCAGAAGCTGGGATCACTTTGTTGGAGTTGGCATGTACATGGCCTCTGAAGCTCCCTTTCTGGGCTGGAATCCTTTCCTCGTCTACATCCTCAGAAGCTTGTTCTCCACAGCTACCGCCTGAGGCCTTCTTGTCAGCAAAGCTTAAAAGCCTACCAGCAGTGGCCTTGCCTCTGCCCAAGGACTAAGTGCCAGGTCGGTTGCTCTTCCACTCTTACCTGTGCTCCCCAAGTTTCCCACCACGCAAGAACCCACCTGTGCGTGTTTGTTCTAAGCTCCCAGCTCTTCACGTCCACACTCAGTAGCCTCTCTGGCTGCTGCCACTTCACAGCAAGAAACTGAATGGCTGCTTCAGTTCCGTATTCAGGTTTTCTGTCATTTCCTGCCACCCCATCCTCACAGCAACTTCCTGAAGTTTGAGTCAGTTCCTTCTCCCTTAGGCACTTGAATCAAAGGGGTTAATTGTTTTGGTACTGGTCTTTTGCTACACTGTAAGAGTGATGGGGCAGTCATAGAAAAGTACTGCTCTCACTCTCAACGTTTGTAATCTTGTCCAGAGAAACAAACATCAAACCAGAAAACTCATTAGAAAGTGCTATATGACAGAACTTGTTGTAAATAGGTGGGCATTTGCATATTGGATATTAAAGGAATTCACAGCATTTAAATCAAGAAAAACTTGGTGGGAAAAGTACATATGGGTTTTGATTAAATTTTCTTTTTTAAAAAACAAATCTATTTGTACATTGCCCATAGCAGTTAAAAGTAAGATCTGCATATAGTTGATGTCCAAAAAACACTGATTAGTTGAATAATGAGGAGTAACTCACAAGGGCCAAAGCAAGACATGGAGGATGAAAGATTCCCAGCTTGCTGGGGACTGTGTTGAGCCTGAGCTCACTGGCAGATCTGGCTCCACACAGAAGTGAGAAGTCTGAAAGAACCAGGTGCTGGGCTGGGGCTGGAGCTCAGGGGTGCAGCACCTGCCTGGCAAGCCTGAGGCCGCAAGTTTGATTCCTGGTACCAAAAAAGAAAAAAAGACCAAAAAAGACCCAGGTGCTTATGATCTGATAGATGCTACCTGTGGTACTTTGTGCACTGCTCATCACTGGCTGGCCCCCTGTCCTCTTCATGGCAGAGCTGCTCAGGTCACTTGTTTTGGCTGACAGACTGGATCCCTTTCTGTGCTAACCCCACTGTAGCTCTGTTATCTGATCGCTGCCCACCAAGGAAACCTACAACTCTCCAGTGACTCCCCTAGAGGTGTCACTTTTCCTACATGTCATCACGTGAGGAACTTGGCGACTTTAACTCAAAAATAATTCCTTGTTTTTAGCTAGCAGGAATGGCGTGTGTGTGTGACTATCTATGGATTTGTGATCTGATTTGATCAGAGGTTGTGAACTCCTCTAGGATCTAAAGATTCTATGCTTGGGGCAGTTTTATTTATTTCTTTCCTACCTCATTGTCTATCACGGCAGCACAAAAGCTATTTTAAGGGAGAGTACATTTATAGAAAGGGAATCTGTTAGCACATTTGAAATTCTAATCCAGTGTCAAAATTGGAGTTATCAGACCAGGTAATTTTGACACACTGTATATGAACACAATACTCTAGGGGAAGCATCGAAATTAATCAGAAATTATTCTAAGAAACCCCAACTATCCATTGCAAACGTCCCAAATTTGTTCCAAATGGTAGTAAGGTGTGGGCTTTGAAATCATGCAGACTAGGTTTCATTAACTGACTTATTATACCCTGAAAAAGTAAGATAGCTCTTTCCAGGCAGCAACTTCAGTGGGTGCCACTACATTTCCCTTTCTCCATTCCCAGGCACCTGACGTTCTTGAGTTCTGCCAGTACTGTACTGGAAACAGCATGGATTTCACACCCTAAAACACGACTCACTTGATTCAATATTAAGAGTGGAATTTCCTTATTGCATTTCACTTTTGGGGGGATCCAGCAACAATAGCCAGAAGGATACTTGTATCATTATTGATGTTGTTAAGTAGGAAGACAGAGTTTGTAAAGCTTCCTCACCCCCTATTCATTCCTCCACATCAACCCCCATCCCGTACCTTTATCCCTTCAAACACAGGTACATCAGCACCTGTGTACACAGTCATACACACCACAACTCATCCTGAAAATAACTTTATTATTTTACAGTTGTTCAGGAAAGTTCATGGAATGCTGTGCCCAAAGTTTAGTCACTACAGAAGAAGATTTACAGACCAGTGAGCCACCGTCTTCTTTCTTCTCTGGGTGGTAAGAACAGACAGGAAGTGCATGGTGTAGGTAAGGAGAAAACAGTCGCCCAGGAGGAGCAGGGTGGAGCAGAGGAGCAAAGAGTAGGCACAAATGGGATCCACTCCTGACTGGTGTCTCGGTCTCGGTCTGGATGGAAATATTTTGTCTCCTTTAGACTCTCTTCCATCTCCTCAGTAACACAGGGTACGTGACCATGGGGCTGAGAAACTCGGGGAACTGTTGCCAGCAGGACCCCAGTACTTCAGCAGGCCTGGAGTTGCTGTGCGGTCATCAGAGCAGTCCCCCTCCTGGCTGGAGTCAAAGCTTCTTCACCTTAGACTTGCCCCTGTGGTCCCTGGCACTGGGCCACATTTGAGTTATATCCACATGACAGCAATCAATGACAAGAATCTGAACCTTGTTATCCAATGTGAGTTCTTCCTGCCTTTCAAAGGAAAGGCACGGGTTACGTAATACCTTACTCCGCCTGCATTCAAGAGCACAGGCTCTGGGGTCCTGTCCTGAAAGCCCAGGACCACCAACTCCCTGCAATGGTGTCAGGAAAGTAGAGCAGATGATGTTCTTCAACAATGGCTAAAAACCCAGAACGTTCCTTAATTTCCATTCTACTCTACAAGAGACCTAATTACCTGTCCTATGAAGTGGTTTACCCTCCCCATGAAGCAGGAGAAAACACAGGTAAATGAATTAAAGAAACATATCAATCAAAAGGATACTGGGCTTCAGATTATTAGGTTTATTGGAATCATTCTACTGGCATGGCTGAAAGACAAGTCTCAGTATCTTATAGGACCAAAGAGAACAGCAAAATCTGAACAAATGCCAGGCTCAACTAACCGTGACTCTTCTCAGACTAAGCAGACCTGTTCAGGCTCTGGGCAGCAGAGATAAGCTGACATGCCAGGCCCTGCAGCTTCACTTAGCCTCACGGCCACCTGTTTCTGCAGGCACTTTCTGTGGAGAGTCGGAGAGATGATTTGTAAATAGGACAACAATAGTTCTGATCCTGATGGATTAGGGAATTCCAAATTCTGTGGGGCGTAGTTAAAAAAATGAAAACTAAGTTTATAGATGGCCTGTAAAACATAGAACGAGCAGGACATGAACCATCAGAAAGTAGATGGCTGCCAGCAGTGGCACTCGGGTCCGGGAGTGACAGAGTGACCTCAGGACCCTCTTCCATCCAGCACCACTCCGGGTCTGAAAGAAAAATCCGAAAGTCAGTTTTATCCTCCGGTGATAAATCCCTTTTCCTTGCACAGTCACGCTGCATTCAAGCAAAGCTAACCCCACCACAATAAGCAATAAGCAATAAGCAATAATCCTGGAAGAAAGTCTCCTCAGGGTCAAGGGGCCTGGCAAATCCCACCTGGTTCTTCGAGGCTTCCGCACCCTCCCTGAGCTTCCACGCTCCCTCTGCTTTTGCAGGGCCCTCCCCACAGCTGGCCCTGTTTGAGAGCACCGCACCCTCTGTATCCTTCCCTTCTTACCCTGCGACAGCTGCTGCCTGTCAGGTCTATTAACAGCGACTGCTCCTGAGTGCCACAGGAGCCGATGATAGGAGCCCGGGCAGAATCCCATTCACTGAGCTCCAACCTGTGGGAAGGAAAGAGGTGGCATGGGACCTTCTGCCGCTCTGCCCACAGCAGAGGCTCTTCCCACAGTAGTAAAGGTGATACTAACCCACAGGAACTGCCTGCCTGCCGTGGAGCAGGCACTGGCCAGGGGCTTACGCACCTGTTACCCTCAGGTTTCAAGGCTGGTGTAGTGGCTGCCAATGGGACACGAAAAACTAGTAGTGGAGCCAGAATTCCATATCTGGTTTGTCTTTAAACCTCATGTTCTTTTTTTCCACTACGTTGTTTTTCATTTATTGAAGGATAGTAAGTGAAAACACCCAAGAAAGATTTCTTAAAATTAAGCTGATCTGTCAGGCTCTACTGCTTTCTCTTTCATTTTTGCCAGTTTGATTATTTAATACTGAAACTTCTTTATTTGATGAAGAACCTGCCAGTACCCACTCAAGTCTCTCATGAAAACAAGAACTGTGCTCAGAGCACACCTGATCAAGCGTCTGCCTTCAGGGGTGCACTTCCGACTGGGTGGGAGGATGGCACTCTCCTCCTAGGGGATATCTACTGCCTCATAACCTGGCCTTGCCTTCTAGAGCAAAGCAATGCCTTAACCTCCCCTGGCGGCCTGAAAGACAACTGAGCATGTAGCTTGAACTCCTCCTGTTGTGCTGCCCTGTCTGTCCCTCCGGGCCAAGCAGCCCTGCTCTGCCACACATGGTCTGCTGCTGTCTCCTTCAGGGGGGGCCGCCATGGGATGATGTGAGTACACACCAGCAAGCCAAAAGACAGGCTGCTTTCAAACTGCGTGGTCACTGAGTTCCACACACTCGACTGAGTACGTGTGTACTGTACCAGAACCTGGCCTAGGCAGAAATAGCATGGAAGGAGTTCCACCAGTTTCCATTCTACATCATGCCAAAGAGGGAACTATGGACGGGCCGAGCATGGTTCTGTGCTCATGCAAAGGCTCCACAGTCTCCCTCACTGTGCGTTCTCAGGTTGGCTCAGGTCAAGTTCACTATGCTGGAGGGGACTGACCTGCTGTAAGCCAGGTTTCACAGGTTTAACAATTCCACAGAAAGATACAGAGAAACAGAAAATGCTTAGCAGAGATAGCAAGGCACAGCATCAGCTGTGCTGTGCTTCCATGGAGCCCCAAACTCCCAGACACCCATATGGCCTGAATGGAGGATGAAAATTAAGAAGCAGTGAGCATGCTGGGAGGGAAAGAAAGGAATCTCAAATGAGATCTGCTCCCTGCAGTGGCCACCATGGCCACCCAAGCTTTTTCAGAAGGCATTAGCATCGCAAATGACATTCCCTGAGGGACGCCACTGGCTTTCCCCCAGACATAACAGGAGCGCCTGCTTTTTAATGTTTCTTTCCACATAAAGGGACCCTCGCATGCATAGTGACTGTGTACTTGCAAGCTGGGAATCTGCTGCTCTTTGCAGTCACGTGGGTGACTACATGGGGGCCCACAAGAAGCAATCTGCTCTGCTACTCCAAGCTCAGGTTTGGCACAATTGGA